ATGCCATAATCTCCTATTTGTGTACAGCTGGCTCTAGTGAATCTCTTCTTTTTGATATTTCTTGGGAGGTATTTACACAGCTGGTCATTCTCTGCAACTGTTGGGCGTGCAGAGCCTAGAAACGGCCCACCTTTCCGACGGGAGGGGAGGAGGGAATAGGTGCCCTGCGAACTGCCAGATCAAAGCTTTTTTTTTTTTTTTCTGGCTTGCCAAACTGCACTCATCGCAATCTTTTTTTGCCCCCTTCGGCACTCTTCCCGTTGAAAGAAATCTGGCTTTTTACAAAGGAATCGCCGGGCCACCTTATTTGTATTAAAGTGATAAAAGTAGCGCGTGCTGTGCCTTGATGTTAAAATCAGTCAAGAGTCTGTTAAAGTGAACCTGGGTTCTTTGCACTGGGGGGGGGGGGGTGACACCAGCAGCTGTGTTATCCCTCTCTTGAGCCATGAGATCTGTGGGCAAAATCCACTTAATAACACGTCTCACTTAACAACAGAAATGTTGGGCTCAATTTTGGTCATACGTTGAGGACTACCTGTATTTCTTTACAGTCATCTCCTCGTTAGCACTCTCCCTGAGGATTGTTGAGGCCACTTGGCGGTTTATCTGTGCTCTCAGGGTCGCCTGAATCAGGGTGCAATTGGTGGTGGGATCTTCTTGGAACTACGTTGCAAACTGGAGATAGGTGGTGTCTTTTTCCTCCCATCTCTATTGAAAGAACAGAACAGAACAGAATAGAATAGAATCTTTATTGAGAATAGGATAGGATAGGATAGGATAGGATAGGATAGGATAGAATAGAATAGAATAGAATAGAATAGAATAGAATAGAATAGAATAGAAGGGACCTTGAAGGTCTTCTAGTCCAGCCTCCTGCTCAAGCAGGAGAACCTATACCATCTCAGACAGGTGACTGTCTAGTAGTCTCTTTTTAAAGACCTCCAGTGATGGAGCTTCCACGATTTCTGGAGGCAAGCTGTTCCACTAGTTGATTGTCCTCACTGTCAGGAAGCTTCTTCTTAATTCCAGGTTGCTTCTCTCTTCGATCAGTTTTTTGTATGTTTTAGTCTCCAGGCCTTGGATCATCTTAGTTGCTCTTCTCTGAACTTTTTCCAAGATCTCAACATCTTTTTTGTAGCGTGGTGACCAAAATTGGTTGCAGTAGTCCAGGTACGGTCTCACTAGGGTTTTATAAAGCAGTACTAATACTTCACGTGATCTTGATTTTATGTCTCTCTTTATGGATTGTATTAGCTTTTTTGGCTGCTGCTGCACACTGCTGGCTCATGGTCAAGTGATCGTCCACTAGGACTCCAAGGTCCCTCTCACAGTTGCTGTTTTTGATGTTCGATTCAAGCAGAGATGATATTCTTGTACCACTCTTTCAAACCAGAGATCCTCTCTACTACCCAAAATGTGGGCTTTTGGTTTTTATATTTTCTTAATTTCTCTTTCAGGACCAGCCCTCCTTACTGCTGCGTAGATCTCCATTCTTTGAGAACAGGGGAAGTGGTCAAATCCGTGCAGTTCAAAACACCGATTTATGATCTCCACTGCAACAGAAGGTAATTTCTTTTGATCTCCAAATACCTTTCCCATCCAGTATTTTTAAAGCTCTCTCCTTTGATTGCAGTCACTTCATGTTATTTCAACTTCCTGTTCAAAAGAATGGGGCTGGAAGATTTGGTACTGGTGAAAGAAAAGGCCCCAGATTGGCTTCTTTTATGCATAAATGTATTTAAATAGAAAGGTAGAAAAAAAAATACCCCTCTCATCTCGGTATGCTGGCTGGGGAATTCTGGGAGTTGAAGTCCACAAATGTTAAAGATAAGATAAGATAAGGTAACCTTTATTGTCATTTTTTTACTGTGGGCACAACGGCACACATCAAAAATGAAATTGAGTTGCCTGCTCTCAAAGTGAAACACATACATGACACACACCTAAAACATACTATATACAACATATGTATAGACCCCCACCCCTACATATACATAAAAAATAAATATTAAATGGTGTCCATCTTGAATACATAACGGAAGGAGGAAGCTTGAGAGTTCACGAGGTTAATGCTGTATGGAATGAAACTATGGTTGAATCTGGATGTTCTGCTTCGGATACCACGGAGCCCCCCCCCCGAAGGGAACAAGGAAAGCAGGTCGTGAAGAGGATGTGTAGTGTCCCAGATGATCTTACGGACCCTGCTCAAGCAACGCTTCTGTCCTATGTCCCGGATGGGAGGGAGGGAACTGCCAATGATATTTTCTGCCGTCCTCACCACTCTCTGCACCGCCTTCTTGTCTGAAGCAGGGATGCTTCCAAACCAGACTGTGATGCTGTATGACAGGATGCTCTCGATCGTCCCTCTGAAGAAAGTGGTCAGGACAGGGGAAGGAAGATGTGATTTTCTCATGCGGCGCAGAAAATGCAGGTGCTGCTGTGCCCGCTTCACAGGGGTCTCGCTGTTGAGCGACCAAGCCAGCCTGCTCGTTAGCTGCACACCCAGGAATTTGATGCCAGTAACCAAAGTTGCCAAGTTTGGAGACCCCTGGCGTAAAGTGACAGCTAAGTTTGTAATGAGGGGCACATTTGAGGAGAGGCCCAACAGGCTACAGCTCCCAGGTGCATTTTTACACACTTCTCTTCTTTGCAAAATATCTCCTTGCCCTTCTGGAAACGATGGGAAGAGTTCCCTTTTGCGTGAGAGTTAAGAAAGATAGCTTGAGGGCAGATATTATGGAGTTAAAGAGTGAATAGCCTGTTATAAAGACGTTTCCTCTGTTCCTGGGACAGACAAAGAGAAATATATATATATATATTTTCCCCCCTGGGGAAATTCTCTGCAGAGCAAAAGGGAGATGGATTGAAAGTTTGTGGACATAAATGAGATGTGTATTCCGAGGGGTGAAAAGGAGGGTCTCTTGTTCAGAGAACCCCTCAAACCCAGCATCGTTCCCCAACCCGCCCTACCCCCCTTCTTGAGATTTTGTTTGGTACATTTTGTCTTTGTATTTCGTGTCCTGGTAATTACATAAAGTGATTTTTTTTCCCCTCCTCCTCTTAATTCCATTGTACGGAAGGCAGCGGAGGTCAAAGCAAGGAAAAACACTTTTAGCAAATAAGGCCTGGCTATTAGGCCCAGCAGATTTGCAATAAAAAAAAAAACCCCCAGCAATATGATTATTTTTTGAGGATGAAACACTTTTCAGATTAATATACTGGGTGCTTTTGATGGATTTTCAATCTGAACTGCCGGGGCAAATGAGTGTTTTAAAAAAATTACATGAGGTATAATGCCCGTTTTGTTAACAAGGTACGGTCTCGGTTTCCCCCCCTCCCCTTCATTCTCTCCAGCAATTTATTGTTGGCAATAGGATCATGGGTGCCCTAATTGTTTCCCTTGAATATCACAAACCTTGTCATGTTATACATCTGAAAGTTTCACTCTGTCGAATCTGCTGTTAGCTACAAAATGCAACTTTGCTGACCCTTGTTGTTCAAGACCACTTGAGTAGGAAAAGAGGAAGGAAGGAAGGAAGGAAGGAAAGAAAAAGAAAGAAAGAAAGAAAGAAAGAAAGAAAGAAAGAAAGAAAGAAAGAGAAAGGGAGGAAAGGAAGGAAGGAAGAAGAGATAATAGAGAGAAGAAAAAAGGGAGATAGAAGGAAAGGAGAAAGAAAGGAAAGAAAGAAAAGAAAGAGAAAGAAAGCTAGAGAGATATTTTGGTTGGTTTTCTTATTTTTTTAATTTAATATGACAAACATTTCTGTCTCATCCTTTAATTTCTGTGCCTTATAAATACTCATTTAAAGTTACAACACAGGTCAACTGCCCTTTTTATATTTTTGTATAAAGCTACACGTTCCACATAAATACTGTAAAAGTTCCACAGAATTAAGTTAAAGCAAATTATCAGCTCCTTGGTAAAAATACTAGTTTCTTTTTCTTCGTGCAAACTGAAATTCTGCTTAATGACCGCAGTCACCCCCTTCCTCTGGGAAAAAAAGCAATAAAACAACTACTGTCAAGTTTAACCTTGCTTTTTTTCGAGGCAGCTTACAAAAAATGCAATTAACAGCCAATACACTGAAATATCCCATTGAAACATTTTGTGTGAAGTTGACAGTTTTTCTTAAGGCATCTTTCTCTCCTCATTCTTCTGGGCATCTAAACATCTTTTATTTTTTATTTTTTTTATTTTTTATTTATTTTTTATTTATTTTAATTTTTTTTATTTTTTATTTGTTTATTTGTTTGTTTATTTGTTTATTTGTCTTTTCAGGATTCTTGTCGTCGTCTTGCAAGAGAAGATTGCTGCCTTTGACAGCTGCACTTTCACTAAAAAATTCTTTGTCACAAGTAAGTGTTCGAAACGATTTCTCACCGACTTCCACATTAATAATATTTGCTCTGCCTCCAGAACGGATCAGTTCAAGCATTGGTTTAGGATGGGGATCAGCCATATTAGAGAGTCAGTTTGGTCTAGTGGTTAAGGCACCAGGCTGGAAGCCAGGAGATGGTGAGTTCTAGTCCCACCTTAGCTATGAAAGCCAGATGGGTGACCTTGGGAGAGTAGAGTAGAGTAGAGTAGAGTAGAATAGAATAGAATAGAATAGAATAGAATAGAATAGAATAGAATAGAATTGAATTGAATTGAATTGAATCGAATCGAATCGAATCGAATCGAATCGAATTGAATTACAGGATAGAAAATAGAATAGAATAGAATAGAAAATATGGAATGGAATAGAATAGAATAGAATAGAATAGAACAGAATAGAATAGAATTACAGGATAGAAAATATGGATTGGAATAGAATAGAATAGAAAATATGGAATGAAATGGAATAGAAAATATGGATTAGAATAGAATAGAATTACAGGATAGAGAATAGAATAGAATAGAATAGAATAGAATTACAGGATAGAAAATAGAATAGAATAGAATAGAACAGTGGTTCTCAACCTTTTTAATGCCGCGACCCCCAACCGGTCGTAAGTTGAGGACTAAACCGGTCATAAGTCAAGGACTAAACCGGCTGTAAGTCAAGGACTACCCAACCGGTCATAAGTCGAGGACTTTCCCTGCCCGGGAGCGCCGCACATGCGTGGTTCTGCCCCCTGCGCCGGCCGAGGCGTAGCTGGCAAGCGGCAGAGACGGAGCAGGCCGACCACCAGCTGGCCCAGCCCAAGGGAGGTAAGGCACCCGCCGGAAAAGGAAAAAAAAAATGGCGGACAGCCTTGCTGGCAACCCCTGTGAAATGGTCGATTGACCCCAAATGGGGTCCCGACCCATAGGTTGAATAGAAAATATGGAATAGAAAATATGGAATAGAAAATATGGAATAGAATAGAATAGAATAGAATAGAATAGAATAGAATAGAATAGAATAGAATAGAAAATATGGAATGGAATGGAATGGAATGGAATGGAATGGAATAGAATAGAATAGAATAGAATAGAATAGAATAGAGCTGGAAGGGACCTTGGAGGTCTTCTAGTCTAGCCCTCTGCTCAAGCAGGAGAACCTATACTATCTCAGACAGGTGAATGTCCAATCTCTTCTTGAAAATCTCCAGGGATGGAGCGCCCACGATTTCTGGGGGTAAGCTTATTCCACTGGTTAATTGTCCTCACTGTCATGAAATTTCTCCTTAATTCCAGGTTGCTTCTCTCCTTGATCAGTTTCCAACCATTGTTTCTTGTCTTTCCCTCTGGTGCTCTGGTGAACAACCTGGCCCCCTCTGCCTTGTGGAAGCCCCTCAAATAATCACGGTGACGTGATCAAAATTTGGGCGTTTGGCAACCGGCCTGTGTTTACGGTGGACGCAGTGTCTTGAGGTCCTGGGGAACTGTCATTTGCACCCTTTCTAGGGAGCTTCCGGCAAACAAAGTCAATAAGGGAAGCCAGATTTACTTAACAAATGAGCGATTCACTTCACAACGATGCCAAAAAAAGTCATAAAATGGGGTGTGACTCACTTAAGAACTGCCTTGCTTAGCTATAGAACTTTAGGGTTCAATTACGGTCGTAGGTTGAGGATTACCTGTACAGCGTTATTCCAGAAAACAGGAGGACTGTGTGTATTGATGTTTCTTTTTTATTATTACTATTTATTTCTGAAATAAATGGACATCACATTTCTAAACGGTGTGATCTCACAGTCTTCTAAGACGGAATTTGGTCTTTATTTTTTATGAGAACGTTGAGGTCTGCTGTACCCAAAATGGTGGCTCTAAGGAGCTAAATATCAAAAGGACGAAATATTCTTTGAGCGCATGCCCAGAAATTGGTGCTCGGTGTCTGCACCAATTTCCCAGTTTTATTTTTTCCCCCGAGAAAAATATTCACTGAAGTTATTTTCTAGACATGGAAGCAAAATAAGTGCTTTGAAGACACTTCGGATGATCTGTCCTTCTTCCACCTACTCAGTCATTTTTTATTTATTTATTTATTAATTGCATTTATATCCCGCCCTTCTCCTTACGGACTCAGGGCGGCTGACAATTGAATAAAATACTAACATATATACATACTTAATTAAAATTTGATTAAAACGAAATATTTAAATATGTCCAATTTAAAAGTAATTAAAACCCCCTTTAAAATCCCTCAGGCCAGTCCCGCTAGTTGGA